CCCCAGTTCCAAAAAAAAAAAAAAAAAAATTTTTGGTCATAAACTATACCAATGAGAAAAAGCCAACTGCAATACACCTTTAAAAAGTAAAAGGGATGTAGTATCTATGAGAATAAAACATTTTATATAGGAAGTCTGTATTAAATTTTTAAAAATACGTATTTTTTGTAGTACTGGGGATCGAACACAGGACCTTGCACTTTCCAGGCAGATGCTTATGCTGCCGAGCTATATCCCCAGCTCTACATTTTAAAAATATTTTAAAAATGAAATGGATTTCTTTTAATGAAGTTTTGGTGAACATAAAGGCAAAAACACAACAATATTCTGGCAAACAGAATACAACAAATCACCAATAAGGTATCCATATATCCTGTCTAAGTAGGCTTCATTTCATACCAGGGATGCTTCAACATGCAGAAATCAATAAATGCAAGCAATGCAATAAATCACATACACAGAGTCTTCCAAATCATACGATCATCTCAACTGATGTAGAAAAGGCCTCTGACAAGATCTAACATCAACTTATTATTAAAAACCCTAAAGAAAGGTACAGAGGAACCTTATCTCAATCTGATAAAATTATGACAAACGTATACTGTCAAATACAGAAAAACTGAAGCTTCCCTCCAAAATCAGGAGTAGCATCTCTGTTCAAATCATTATCACCCGTCTTGTTTAAATCATTAGCCAGAGTAATCAGGCAAGAGATGACACAATCCTCTATATAGAAGGCTTCACAAAATTCTGTCAAAAGACTCCTAGAATAGCTGAATTCAGTAATGTAGCAGAAGAAGAAAAAAAAAAATCAACATACAAAAATCAATAGCATTCCTGCATATCAATAATGAACTCATGGAGAAAGACATTAGGAAAACAGCACCTTTCTCAATAGTGTCAAGAAAAATCAAATATTTAGAAATTCTAACCAAGGAAGGAAAAGACTTTCCTAGTACTCTGAAAAAGATCAAGGAGGTCATTAGAAAATGGAAACCTCTTTTTCCTGGATAGGAAGAGCCAATATTGTCAAAATAACTGTGATACCAAAAGTGATATGTAAACTTAATGTAATCCCAATCAAAATAACAACAGCATTCCTTGCAGAACAAAGAAAATAGTCCTAAAATTCATATGGAACCAGAACAGACCTAGAACAGAAAAAGCAGTACCAGGGAACAAAGGTAAAAGCCAGAGACATCACAATCCCAGATTTCAAATTATATTACAAAGGAACAATGACAAATAAAGCATGTACTGGGAACAGAAATACATATGCGATCAATGTAACATACCGGAAGATACAGAAACAACCCCATTCACATTCAGCTATCTGATCTTTGACCAAGCCAAAAACACGCTGAAGGAATGATGGTTTCTTTAATAAATGGTATGGGGGAAATTTCCCATCTACATGCAGACGGTTGCAGTTAGACCCATACACCTCATCATGAGCTAAAATAAAATCAAAGTGGATCAAAAACATAAATATTAAAACAAAAACAATCTGCTAGAAGATAAAAGATAAAATTCTTAAAGACATAGGCAAAGATCTTAATGGAACCCCATCTGCATTACAAATAAAATTAAGAATCAACAAATGGAATCATACCTAACTTAAAACTTCTGTACAGCAAAGACAACAACAGAATGAAAGAGACAACCTTTGCATGGGAAAAACTTTTTGTCAGCTACTCTTTGGACAGGAGACTAAAATCTGAAACACAAAATATTTATTCCCCCAAATAAAAGATCCATTCAAAAACTGGACGAGGCCAATGAGGTAGCTCAGCAGACAAAGTGCCTGCTTAGGCAAGTGTAGGGGCCAGGGTTCAATCCCTGGCACCATATGCTATGCTGGTCGTACCCCTGGGCATGCTGAGCTGGCCACCAAGTCTGGGAATGGTGGTGCGTGCCTGTAATCTCAGTGCTGGGGAGGCTGAAAACAGGAGGATCACTAAGAGTCCAAGCTGCATAGTGAGATCCTGACCAAAATACTAAATAAATAAATAAATGGACAAGAACAGACATGCCTCAGAAGAATTGTAAGTAACCAATAAATACATGAAAAAAAGGTCAACATCTCTTGCTGTTAAGAGAAATGCAAGTTAACAATGAGATTCGGAGGTCCAGCATCCCGTGGGAGCCTCGGCGGCCGCAGGTTCCGGAGCGGGTGGGAGCGGCGCGTTGCAGCCTCCCTCGGCCCCGGCCCGGCTCCGACC